ACCACTTCGCCGACGCTACCACCGCCTTCGAATCTCGTCCTACACCCTAATCGGAGATTCGTCTATTATTGTATTTCCTTTCTATTTGAGTCATGTTGTAATCTTATTTTTATAATAATAAAAGTTTTCTTTTTGTGTTACACCACATCCCAACTAGTCCAAGTATCAAGCAGCAATAAACTTGTAAATGGTGACGAGTCATGGAAAGTGAGTTCTTCGATGACCGAGGGTTTAAACTTCAACCAGATAGCACAAACAAAAAACTTCAACAACGTGCTTGCAAAATATTTTTTTTCTTTGATAAAACTAGTTAAGAGTACCTTTGCCACCAGAAACTTCCGGGAATGATGAGACTGGGATCTGTGCAAAAGCAGCCGTCAAAGATTCCTGCAGAGAAGAGGGCAACCTTTTCCTTGATTGGATAGCCTCAAAATAGGCATCACAAGTAGGGATTCCTGACCTTCCTTCAGCTTTCTTTGCCATTGTTGGATCATTAATAATTGACTCTAATTCAAGGAAAAAAGTGAATTTCTCATAACATAATTGCGTGTGTTGATTCTATGCATATAAAAAGGTTAAATTGCCACAGAATAATCAAAAGTAACAGCTGACCCATTGGAAAACAAAATGCTCAGCAGAATCTAACTATGACGTCAAAACAATGAAGAACTATGTATTTTCTATGTTCAACGAAAGTTTTATGCAATTTAGATTAGTAATCATTGGAAAGGGTAGCAAAAGAGAAGATCTATATCTTCTTTTACAAACTGTCAACACTTCAAGGCAGCAAGTATCGAATGATCCACTGAAAATGAGGTCAATGATGTACAATATACAGATTAGCTCTGGATTGGCCCCCCACTAAACTAGCTAATATGTTTCAGGAGACAGAAATGTTTATCCCTTAAGATGCTGGATAAGAATCTTACCTTTTGGTGCCATTTGGGTTAGACAGAACCAAGATATTTTCAAAATAATGACTGGGGAAATATACATTCATGTCAAAAAGAAGCTAGCATGGAATCTTATCTCTTCTACAAATCTAAGACAATTTGTCTTGAGCCCTCATTAAGCTTTCAAAAATAAAGAAATTTACCAGTTTCATAATTTGGTTTAGTATGGCTAGAAATCAGCGTTCACTTTAAGCTCAACGAGCCCACCATGAGGTAATTTCAGTTTTACACAAAAGATAAATTCAACTGAACAACTTTCAAACCATGTTTCATAACCAAATAACCCCTTAGCCATCAATTAGAAGAACATTGGGAATAATACCTAATGAAATTAATATAACACAAAATAAAGTTATGTGAAGTGAAAATTCAGAGTGGAGAATGAAGATGCATCAATAAGGTGAGTAAGAAAAATTAATATGCAAGGGAGGAATGAAAAAATAAGAAAAATAGGTCAAAAATAATATAACTTGGTACAAAAGGACATGTCAAATAGAGTTGATATTAATGTTGCACAAAGAATTGAAATGAATCAAATATTAAGCCTAAAACAGTGAGATAAGGCTAACAATGATAATGATAATGATAATAGCCATGAACAGTATCTTTATTTCTTAACATCCGCATGCAAGCAAACATTTATATCTATATCAAATGTAGGAATACTCAACTAACATTTATATGGAAAATGTTCATCCTCCAAAAAATTAATTTTTCATTCTATAATCTTCAAAAATAAAGTCAAGTCCAAAGTTTTTGACATATAACCTATCAGCTTGGGATCTAATTTTAAATCTTTTAATGAACTTGTGATTGCTGATCAAAATAGATGAGGAAAAAAGGCTTCTAATGCCAATCACTAAAAGTACATTTTTCTATGCAGATTTTTGGGAATAATAAACTATATAATATTCTCATTAAGTAAATAACATATATATATATATATATATATATAATATAATATTCTCATTAAGTAAATAACAGATAGATATATATATATATATATATATATCTCAGACTAACCCTCATACAATTAGAGGGAAAATCAAATCATCATGATAAAAAAATAAAAATAAAAATAAAAACACAATAATGGAATACCTAAGGGAGAATAATTTCTTCCCCTCAAATGTAATAGTGAATCCACGGTTTCCTAAACTAGATATGCATAACAACACTCCCTCTCAAATTGGGTTGTATTGCATACATCACAAACTTCTTACTTAAATCACTGAAGTTCTGCCGAGAAAAAGCCTTGTAAGAATCTTAACAATTTGATATCGAGTTGGGATATAACTTAGCTAAAGAACCCCTCCGTTGACCTTCTGAGAGATGAAGTGTTTGTCAATCTCTAAATATTTGGTTTGATCATGGTGTATTGGATTCTTTGAAATACTGATGACTGATTGACAATTATTGAACATTTTAATAGTGTTTTGCAATGTTCAATACTGGACAAAGTGAGGTGTCTATATTTATTTTGCAATGTTCAATATTGGATATGTCCTTTTAAAGTATAGAATGTACTGGTACAAACAGTCCTGAAGCGTAGTACTCTAATACCTCAAGCCTACAAAGATTCATTTAATCTGAATTCTCATATACAATGAATTGATGAATCAATTATCTAAAAACTTTGATCTTTTATTAGGGTATCATATTTGCAAGGTTAAAGCATTTTCAAATCTTTTTTGAGATCTAACAAAAAATGATGTCAATTACTTCATATAATGATGAATAAGTTGATCGGGTTTGATTTAATGAAATTGTATTAATAAGTGTGTCTACTCACATACAAGTATAGGATTATATTCCATACATAAATATAAATATGTAAATAAATTAATAAATTGATATATATATAT